AAAAAAAAAACTTAAATATGCGGCGTTTGTATTTCGACTAATTGTCGCAGGTTTATTAGCCTAAACTACGTGTTATGCGTTTGTTGTGCGTAACATTTTTGACTAATAGTATCAGGTTCATTTCGCCTAAACAAGAATTTTCAAAAAATTAAATTCTAAAAAAAAAATATTATGCAACAACTAGGTGGATAATACGCGACGTTTGTATTTCGCAGAATAGAAAATTTCCAAAAGAAATTAAAAAAAATAAATAAATTATTCTTCATTTATACTACACGAGTGTTTCGCAGTGTGTGTTGCAGAATAGAAAATTTCCAAAAATATTTTTTTTTTCTTATTATGCACCAACTAGGCAAATAATATGCGAAGTTTGTATTTCGCAGAATAAAAGATCGAACAGAAATCCTTACACTACTACTTTTACAGTTGCTTCAACCCCAGCCGATTACAAAGTTAAAAAAAAAATCGAAGGACCAGCCAAGCCTAAAAAAAAGCTAGGACGAGGGAGCCGACGAGCTATCACAGCACTCAGACTCCAGAAAGAGGAGTTGTAGGTGGAGCTTGGTTGTGGAGTTCCATGTAGAACTCCAGCATAAGATCGGCCACGACCACCACGCTCTCAACCGATGGGCTCTGACGGGTTCGGGGAAAAACTCCTTAGATACCAACCACCTTTCTCTGTCAGGAAAACCTGCCCGACCACAACCTAGAGAGGTTGAGGCCAGCATTGCCTCTGACAGAGGGTCGGGCCGTTACGCCCCGGCCGCCGATGCGCGCCGTTTCTCACAGTTGACCCGCCAGTACCCGGGCCCGGAGGTTTGATCTTCATCGTTGCTGTCTCGACATATATGTTTCCTGTCGAGGCCACGTTAATAAAGTTGGATAGCGGAATTTCCGCTCGTTGAATTTTTTCCTCCGAAGAATTCAGAAGGTTAGGAGTTCTCAATTCAGACACAGTAATCTTAAAGAATTGCCTCACGGGTCGAAAGAAAGAATTTTTGTAACTCTGGTTTATCTCCAGCGAACTACTTCTCATATACAAGAAAAGAGAAAAACGGAGGGCCATTAACAAAGAGTTCTGGGGAACAGATGGGTAGTAAGAGAAGTGGCATGATATGGATCGAAGATTACATGCTTTATATAGACGGATGAAACGATTCGAAAAGATGAAAGATGCCTCGAAATCAGATAAGTCGGATATGCAGATAAGACGCCTCGAAATCAGCCGTAACGTTCCAACTGCCAGCGGTTTCTAAACCATTCAAAAATTTAAATTTTAAAAATAAAATTTCGATGAAAGATGAAAGATGAAAGATGAAATAAATAAAAAAATAAAGGGGTATGCGAGCAATATGCGGTAATTCGCATACCCCATCGCATAACTTGAATAACAGAAAGATGAAAGAAATAAAAAATAAACTTTCGAGTAGAAGTGCGAAGGTGGTATGCGAGCAATATGCGACAATTCGCATATCCCATCGCATCCTAATTAAAATAACTGAAAGATGAGAGAAATAAAAAAAATAAATAAAAAATACACTTTAGAGTAGAAGTGCGAAGGGGTATGCGAGCAATATGCGGCAATTCGCATACCACCTCGCATAACTGAAAGATGAAAGAAATATGAAAAAAACTTATTATGCACCAATTCTGCGCATAATATGTGACATTGGTATGTCACAGAATAATTATTTCGACTAATAGTCGCAGTTCATTCGCCTAACAATAATAATTATTTAACGGGTGACAGACCGCGATTGACCGAGTCGTACATCGAATCTCCGCATATTCGTCGCATACTTTAACTCATAATTTTCTCGCTCATGCTCATACCGGCCGTTTATCTATCGTATAGTTTTTCACATATCTCTTCGTACTTTCTGGGGTGAAAAACTTAACTTTTTATTGGGTGGTGTGAAAAACTTAGCAGAACTTCAAAATATGGTGAAAATAGCTATTTCCTCTTAAATATTTGTATGTATATTTATATTTATTATTATATTTGCTAATCCGGTAATACCACCGATATTACCGGCAGGGACGGATCTAGAAATTAAGAGTAGACTGGGCTAACATTTAAAACTCACTTTTATAAAAACTACATAATATTTTCTTTAAATGTTCACTTATATTGTGCTCGACGAGCTTTTAGAGGATCAAATTCATCATAATAGAATTTATACTTATACTATTATGTAAACTCCTCTTCGATGAAGAGCATCAAACAATCTTCGAA